TTTAGAACCTTTATTTCCGATTGTGTAGTAACATTACAGCCTTATAAGATATTTTGTATTATTTAATATATTTTAATATATTTTAATATATTTGAATACATTTGATTTGATCATAAAAATAAGATAATAATTTGAAACTTGAATTTCGATAGGTCCCCGATTTAATTTGAAAAGGACTTGGTGTTTCTTCTTCTTTAATCACACATAATTCGGAAGATATTAATATATGGACAAATATATTAAATCTCAAAGACTTATTCCAAATTTGTCATAGAATCTATTATTAAATACAAATTATGAAATACTCTATAATTAAAAATGATTTTAATTACTTGTATATGATCCCAGATAGTCAGTGCCATCTCTGTGAATTGCGCATTCAATGGAGAATCAGACACGGGTTTACAATGTACGCTCATCAAGTGCAATATGTTCTCCAATAACTCTTCCCTGTTCAGATGATCGAACATGATCATGTGCGACCATAGTTTTGGTATATATTGCGTGGCAGTCTGCGCGGGATATAATTTAAGAGCTTCTAATATAGCACTCATCACGGCAGGTTCCGGTATAGTCACGTGCGGCACAAGTTTGCTGTAGAGCTTGAAGAATGTCTCAAATTCTTCCGTTGCCAAAATTAATTCCAAATACATTCGGTAATAGATATGTTCCTGAGAAAAGATATAAGCATAATATAAATGCTTAATATAAATACATAATTATTAGCATAATTTTAAGAATAGCTGCAGACTGCATAGTATGATGTAATGAAAAAATCCAGTTTATTTTAAAAATTATATTTTTACTTTAAATATTTTAACTCTCGATAAACATCATAAATCCTATCTAAATGATGCTATTAAAATATCCACTGAAATTAAGAGATTTTATATGTAAAAAGAATAATATTAATTTCATACTCTTCATATATAGTTTTTATATTTTATTATATATAAGAAAATAAGATTAGTTCACGGCATGTGTTTTCTAGATAGAATGCTATGTGTTGAGGATTTAAGAAACTTACTCTTATATTATTACTGATAAACTTGTAATTTTCACCGGTAAGAAGAAGCTCATTCACCATTTCACCTGCTTGACGATCACAGAACTGCTGGGATGCCATTTTCATTGCGACAACGAAGAAATTTAAATCTTCCTTATTTTGAATAGTAATGGTTTCATTTTTCAAAGACGTCAAAATTTTTATAAAGCTGTTATATGATGCATCGCCTGTTTTAGCGAATAAACTCGTAAATATTCATGAATATAAAATCTTTGCAATGTAAGAGAATATGTAATTACCGAATCTACTTAAAATTTGCAGCAGATAATAATATGTAGTTAACGATGGCTTCAGTTTGAATTTTGTAATATCAGCGAGTATCTTGCGTGTAAAATCTAGAGCTACTTGATTGGTTTTTAAAGCAGTTGCTACATTAAGGGCGGCATTAAAGGTATGTATGTTTGGAGTGATTCCGTTTATAATCATTGCTCTGTAAATATCGGTTACTAACGATTTTAATTTCGAATCCTCTTGCTTCTCTTGCCTTGGTACGAGCATTGGTACTATTGATATCATAGCATTGTATCCATCAATAGATAACGGTATACTTTTTTCTCGACTTTCAGCATAAAAATGCCAAGCCTTGTTCGGCTAAAAGATTATATCAAATTTTTGTTGAAATTTATAATAATAAAGCTCTAAGATATAAAAATAAAAAAAAAGGCAAATTAGAACCAAAGTGTCGACAATAAATAGATTAAATTTAACTAATTTCATTGATTGGATGTAATTCTGATTTTGATCGTTCACATCTGCTGAAGAGAGTCCTAATTTTGGATCAAAACATACATTTATTATAAAGTTTATTCAATCATCATCAGATAGACTTTAATTTTCCTTTTTTCTTCTTTTTGTCGTAATGTGTTGTTATATTTCAGATATCTCTTTTAAGAAGTAGCGAGTTACTTTTTAAATTCTTTTTAATTAAGTTGCACTTATGAATGATTTAAGAGTTATCTTACACTGAAATGTTTAACCAAACCACATATCATCGCGGTGTACGCAGCAGCTGCTATTTTGGGTTCTTGTTCCTTCAGAAATTCGAATAGTACATCGATTTGTGAGTAATTTCTGTAAATCGCGATAAAATATAAAGTATTATTTTAAGAGTAAAGAAAATACATATTCATCGGCAAAAGAAAGAAAACGTATTTTAATTTTTATACTCACAGCCAAGTATTCTTTGTATGTTCGAATTTATACCAGCGAGTCTCCAGCCATTCGGTTTGTTCACTATTGTTGTAACATAATAATTCCAAGAGTGCCTGTTTCGTTGGTATTGTCATCTCACCTTTTAATAAATCGTATATCGTGATACAGTTAGCAATATTACCATTTGATATTTCATATAATAATGTTTCTTCTGTCACTTTACTTTCTTCGGTATAAATGGGGAGTGGTACAAATGCCTGCAAAACAAATAATATGATATGTTAGCTGAATTTAAATATTAATAAAAAACATTATTGATATTATATGAACTGACAAACAAAAAGAAGGATTTAATTTATGCTTGATTGATGACCTTAATTTCAGGATCTGCTACTTTATGCTGAAATAAATCGCGGTGTTCTTCACGAACCCACATCGCGGTCTTCCTTCCAGACTCTTTTGCTAAAGCGTACGTACGATTATGCAAGTTTGATTGAGGTATCAAGAAAGGATCATCATGAAACTTATAATGTGGCGCTGTATAATCTCTAGATATCGTACTTTCCAGAGCCTATAAAACAGATTGTATGACACATTTATAGAAGCATTATTCAAACAAATTTACTTCTACTTTCAGATGTAAAAGAATAATTTTATTTACCTTCAAGATATCTGTTGGACCTCGTTCTATTCTGTTTGGAATTTGAATGTCTGAGGATAAGGTTGATGTTATGGTTGTTGACTGCAATCGTACAATTAACTCCTGGTACAATTTCCTATAAATGTTCAAAATATGAATAAAATTATTAACTTACTATATTCATTCACCATCGATTCACATATAGCTCTTAGGGGACAGTCAAAATTTCAACAATTAAAGTCCTCCTCTATATAAAAAGTTCTTCTATATAAAAAGAAAATATCTGAGTTCAAAAATATTTAGAAAGTAAAGATGTAAAACAATAAAAAAATGTTTCCGACTTTTCACAACAAATTTAGTAGAAAAAATTTAGTACTGATATGAAAGATCTACATATATATATATATATATA